AGCTTATTCAGTTGTCTCTCAAAGGTTGGCCTGTTTTGAGATGTGAAAGTAATCATATACTGTACTCAGGTAAGCTGTTCGATACATCAACAATATGCAATGAGAAGTTATGTAGCCTCAGCTTGATCTGTACACAGCTTAATCTTTAACACCTCAAATTTCACTCATGGTAATGTCTATGTGTGGTCAGATTCGTAGGTAAAATCTTCATGATATACTGCATATTCCTTACATTTCCTTGTATGTATTCTGTGGCTCACCAGTAATGGGATGATAATTATGGGATGTATAGATCAATATATTATCAGATACGAAAGTGAAATAAGTAAATAAAATAAATCGGAGGGAGAGGTTTGAAAGGCAGATTGTTAGAGAAATAGACAGATAAGAGGAAGTGAAAGAGTAGGGGAGTTGGGAGAGAAATGTCTGCACATTTTCATGGCCTGATATAGTGAACCGCTTGTGATAAACATATTCCTAGTTATGCTGCCTCCATTTATTTTTAATTTATTTTTAATAATACGTATAATTTTAGTAGGGATGCATATTGTGTTTACTTGATAGTTAAACTGTGTTAGGTTTACTGGGAGAGTGAACCCAATTTTTAAATAAATGAAAGTAAATAAGCTTCGTTAATTAAGCTGGGTACAGGAGAGTCGGACTCTCGGGACCAGTGTGTTTCGTGAGATAATGTCCACCACAGGAAGAATCTAGACTGTGGTTTATAATTGTAATTATGGTTATAAGATAAGGATGAGCGATGACCAGTGAAAAAAATTTGCTCCTGGTTTTGATCTTGCAGCAGATAAGAACTCTAATTAGGCTACGTTATCTTAGTGTTTTAGAATATCTTGTGTTATATGTTATATATTTGGAGTATATACCACAGTAAAGCATTTGATTATAATCAGAGTAACATTTGAGGTCAAAGGTCAAGCTGGGGGTAATCTTCCGAGTCGTTATCGAGGTCACCGCCATTAAGTACCTGCATCATCAGGGTGGTGATTGGCGTCATCACGACAGTCATTAAGTCGCACTCCTTTTGTGAGACGTCTGGGTACGGTGAGGTACTTTAAGGTCAAAATCGTGTTTGCGTTGGTTTGTTGGTGAAATCTTAAATCAATGGTTCTCTCCCTCTTCCTCTGTCTCCCTCTTTACATTTTCCCCTCTTCGTCTCTCAGCTTCTCCCCGTCCTACAAGCCCGACCCTTTAGACAGGAGGGATCACGTCCTATCAAGTCAAGGCGCGAGTTTACTTCTGACTCCACCCTTCTCTCACACCTTCAGGAAGTTGCCGCTGCCAAAATGTTTCACATAATTGTATTCTCACTGGAAACAGGAATTTATCGCCACACCGCCTTCCAATAATTACTCCCTGAAAAGTTGGGGGGAGTCAACGCCGGCGTGGCCAGACTTCTTCCTTCCCACGCTCTGACACGTTTCCCAATGCCTCGACTTCGTTTCGGGTATTTCCGTATCTCCTACAACATATTTCCCGGTCTCTCGACACTACTGTGATACCATTTTTGTTTTCTTTTGGTTCTTTAATGGTAAATGGTGTATCTTGTGGAAAGAGAGACATAGATTGGAGGGTAGGTTCTGGTGGGGTATTATGGAGGAAGTGTGTGAACGAAGATCTCGGGGACCTGTTGAGAAAGAGAGAGGTGTTGGACGCTCAGGGGAACACAGTCAAGATCTGGTCCGTCTCCTTCCATCCTTCTCCCTTACTCTTTTTCCTTCATAGTTTCCTTCCTTCGTCTCTCTTCATCTTTCTCTCCTTTCCTGCCTCTCGTTTTACCCTTCTCTTTCCTACCTATACTCTTCTGCTCTTCCATTTATTTTCTCTCTATCATTTTACTCTCTTCTCCTCCCCATCTTCTCATACAACCTCTTTCCTTCTTTATCCCTCCTCTTTACCCTCTTTCTCATCATCTTACCCTCCTTCAATCTTTCCTTCCCTCCCTCCCTCCCTCCTACCTAGCCAGTCAACCCTTCACACGCGTGAGAAAAATGTCTGGTTGGAAAAATCAGATGAATCTCATAAAAACTGAGTCAAATTTAATGAAAATTTCCAGCAGGTTGCCCTCTTAGTCACTCCTCCCTCCCTCCCTCCCTCCCTCCTCCACTGTCTCCTTTACCCTCCCTCCCGAAGCTCCCTCTACTCTCCTTCCTCCTTTCTACTTCCCTCCCTCCGTCCCTCCCTCCGTCACTCCCTCCCCCCTTTCCTCCCTCGCTTTTTCTTCTTCCGTGCTTCTACTTTCTCATCCAATCCCTAACTTAAGCACCAACCCTCACCCAAGTGTAGTACTTGCTCACGCCCTCGTACCTGCCCACGCCCACGTACCTGCCCACGCCCACGTACCTGCCCACGCCCACGTACCTGCCCACGCCCACGTACCTGCCCACGCCCACGTACCTCCCCACGCTTACGTACTTGTTCACGCCCACGTACCTGTCCTTGCTAAAGATGACTCGGGTGAGACACAAACAGCCGTAGAGTTTGAAATTAATGAACCTGTTTAGTGGAGGATAATGAAAATTGTCCTGTTTTTTTACGGGAGCTTTCAAGCGAGTGGTTAGTAGTTGTCGTTGATGAGGGTGGCAGTGGGTGAAGGTGTGGGTGGTGGTGGTAGTGGGTGTAGGTGTGGGTGGTGGTATGGGTGTAGGTGTGGGTGTGGTATGGGTGTAGGTGTGGGTGGTGGTAGGGTGTGGTGGTGGTGTGTGTGTGGGTGTGGGGGTGGGGTGGTGGTATGGGTGTAGGTGTGGGTGGTGGTATGGGTATAGGTGTGGGTGGTGGTATGGGTGCAGGTGTGGGGTGGGGTGGGTGGTGGTATGGGTGTGGTGTGGTGTGTGGTGTGGGTGTGTGGTGTGGTGGTAGTGTGGGTGGTGGGTGGTAGTGGTGGTATGGGTGTAGGTGTGGGGTGGTGGTATGGGTGTAGGTGTGGGTGGTGGTATGGGTGTGGGTGGGGGGTAGTGGGTACAAATGTGGGCAATGGTTGTGGGTCTAGACAGGAGCCTCACAACTTCGTAAAACACGTCTTATACCAGTATGATGGGCTAAATTTTTACCTAATCTAACCTAACCAAAGGTATTTCAACCATTAACGGGAGGAACACACAATTACATCATGTTAGGTAAGAGCCACTTAGCACACGTCGTGATGGGCAAGGACCAATCAACACTCTTCATGCCCTCAAACGAGTGGATTCTGCCAAAGTGCACCCTACCTCTCCCTCCGCCCTGGCAGATTGAATCAGGTATTCCGGCTCCTCCTCACCTCCACTATCTTGGCCTAAATAACCAATTCCGACACCTCCTCCCCATCCTCCTCCTCCTGAGCGTCTTGGTCCAAGTTTTCAAGAAGATGAGAAGGAGGAGGAGGGGCTGCAGGTGAAAGGAGAAGTGGAGGAAGAGGAGCAGGAGGAACACAAGAAGAAAGGGGAAGAGGAAACATTTTAGAGTTTCTTATCTGAATTCTTAAAGATTAGCGAGTAAATGTTGTCGTCCCGCTTGTGATAAGAAATAATGTCTTATCTAACAACGGTAGAGTCATACTTCAATTTCGATGCCATCTTGATTGCTATCTCAGTAAGTATATAGTGTTGTGTAACTGAACCTGATAGATGTGCTCTCTTATCTCCACTTAGGGGCACGAGTTGGGAAAGTGATCTTAGGACGAGCCTTTGAGAATATGTCTACGGGATCACTTGATAAATTACACCCTAACGCTACCTGGGGGAGTTAGGTTAGATTAGGTTATATTATCTTAGTTTATGTTAATTAGGTTAAGTTAGTGTTAGGATGGTTCATCTTAAGGTAAAATAAACTGGGATCTATCTTCAAGTGATTCTCTTTATTTATGTTGTAGTGCAATTAAGGTAATTAGATACGTTCTCACATGTCCAGTCAGGGAGGAATTTAACGTAAGCGTGTGTAAGCCTCCTCACCGTGTGTTGATGTACAGTGTAGATGCTGCCACAACACACTAGGCTATAGGTATGGATCACCTCAAGCTGGCGTATCTAGTCTCTGTGCTAAAGCCTTTAAGGCCAAGGTCAAAGCTGAAAGTTAAGCTTCTTATTTGCCAACGGGAGTATTATGTGCCGCGGTATAGTATTTTATCTTGTGTTTATTCAAAATCAAACTATGCAATAGATACAGAAATTTCGCGATAGCAAACTGCATCAGGATAACAGCACAGTCAGGTCGTTTTACACACATAAAAGGTAAAGACATTTATTTCACGTCCAACTAATCAAAATTGCACGCTAACTGGCCATCTCTAACATTTATTACCTTTTTCCTGTAAGACAAAACCGAGCTTTTTATTTCATCCATCCATCCATCCTAGTCTTTGCCAAAGGGCTGCCAGGTCTGTCCTGGACAATCTGGCCTTTTTGAGACCTGCTTGTCCTATATTTTTATAATTAAAAAGGACAGCCAAAAATTACCTTTTCTGTCCTTTTCTAGCTTCCTTCTACTTAGCCGGGAAATAGCAGCTGCAGGGAAAGATATCCATGCGTGGATAAAGTTAATCCATTCATTTAGTCAAGTTGAGTGACAGTGATGTTATTTAGCGACAGTTGGCCTGGCCTATAATTCTTTTTTTAAGATGGGCAAATGGAAAAGCAGTTACAATGATTCCCGAAATTATAACAAGGAATGGAAGAACAATTTAAATGGCTTTCCTGGAATAATAATGCATGTCATTGTTAATGGTGCAAGTGTAATGACAGTCTAACTAATATATGGAAATCTGCATTTGAGCAACATGAAAAAAAACGACAAAGCACAGAAAAATTCTTCATTCATTACAAGTTCAAAGAAAATAACGGACACCGTCCAGATCAGGACGGTCAACCAGGTAAGTTACATTTTGATTGTAAAACCTATGAAGCCATAAATAACTTATGGTTTCTCCTTTTTTATTAATCCTACAAACTTGTGCTGGTAGTCGTCCTTTTTCCCCTTAAATGTCTTTTTTTTTTTTTCTTTTTTCACGGAATGGTTGGGGAGGAGCATCTGGCAACCCTGCACTGCTGTACCCTGCCTCAGTGCCTCACCCACCTACCTACCAGAGTATACGGTATGTAATTTGCCTTATTCTTTTTTAATTGTTTTCAGTTTGTGTAATGAACCACCTTGTCATTTTTAATTTTGATAATTAGTGTAATTATTAATCTAGTACACGCGCTTAAAGACCTTGGTTGTTGGAGCTCAGTAATGCATTAAGACACCAACCACCAACATGTTCCGAAAGCTTCCCTCGCCTTCTGTTGTCGTCTCCTCCCTCACTTGTTTTTGTAATAAATGACTTTTAAGTAATTCTGTAAACAAAATTGTTGTGAACGTCTCCTAATAAATCCGCGGAAATGGCTTTAGCTATTACCAGATTATATACGTTTCTAAACTAATTTTAACTCTAAATTCAGCGAATGTACAGATAATAATATATTATCTGTACGTCAGGCAGCGAGGCGTGCAACAAGATGATCACTTGTAAAATATTTCGTGCATTGAGTCGTTACTACGTATTAATTATAGAATCTACAGTATGGTGTACTCACTGATATTCTTGATAACCTTTAATCATTATAAATGCCAGAAGAGCTTTGTTTTTGTAGAATAACTAATTTAATTAGCCAAGCACGGCCGAACTACACCCTTACACAGTAAATGTTTATGCCTTTTAAGTATATTAGAACGTATTTGGTTACAGTATAAATTTGCTTCAATTACTAATGTCTTTAAACACGTATTTAAACATGTCAATATATAAGACAATATCTGTTAAAAATTACAGAAAATATTAATGTATTATAAGTTAACAACCAATTTTCCTTGTTGACAACGAAGGAAGCAGTCGGTGGTCGACAGGCATGGCGTGAGTGTTGATGTCGGGCTGTGTAACGAGTGACGGTGGGAGGATAATTTGCTGTTTTCTGAGGTAAAATGACGAAACTGCGTGTTACTTTTGATAGCGTCAAGCTTCTTTGGCAAGAGGAATCTCCCAAGTTCTTCATAATCAGAAGATAGAGAGGTTATGGCTGTGTAAAAATCTGCAAGAGGAGTGACACGTGAAGGAAGTTGATTAAACAGGTGAGTTAGTAATTTCCCTTTAATATTTGTAATTTTGTGATTGTTTTATGTTGATGTCCAGTTACAGTACTGGGTAAAGATTTATTAGTGACCATAATAGAAAATTGATAACCAAAATAGGTTTTTATTACTTTTTCTTGGTGTGTATTTTCGGAATCGCTGTATATTTAGAATTGAACAGATTTTGAGAACATAATTGCTGGATTATTTTGTGGTAAGATTACTTTCTTGCCAGGAGTCGTCTTTTGTTGAAAAGACCCCCTTAACCCGGTACTTGATGTTCACCCCGCTGGCTAAATTGGCACTGTCCATCAGTCATTGCCTTCGTTCGCCGGTGTAGTCGTTGGGTTTCCATGGTGGTCACTTCTTCCGCCTACACCGCCGTTAGGGTCTTGCTGGAGCTCTGTAAGCATGTCTGCCTGATGCGGGGCTCCACCGCAAATTTTTCGTTTGGGATTTACTCCCGTATCCTTATACCTGCCAAGGTTATTCCGCAAGGCAGCGGGGCGGTGGTTGGCTGGTGCCAGAACGTGTCCACATGCCAGTGGGCCTATGTGCCGTCCCTCTGGGGCCCACTGCTACTCCGAGATCCCCTGTTGATCTAGCCTGGGCCCACGAGGCACCCAGTTACCGTGTGTTGCCACGAGGAGGCACAACAGGAGTTTTGATGGTGAGGAGGCTGTGTACTGGCAGGGGAAGACTTATGCAAGTTGCTTTCCTGTTCGCCACGAGGGCTAGCCAGCTGCGGCAGCTGAAAGAGAGAGGGAGCAAGCAGTGCTTGCACCTTAACACTAACATAATGCTGCCACTCTAGACGCATTTCACCACCCTGTGTGTGGCTGCACACACACACACACACACACACTGTAACTATGGACTTTAATACACATATCACGTAGTACATGACATTCAGCCTTGCACGCCCCTGGAAGTTGGGCTCATTCTCAACCTTCTTAATGAGAGGATATGAAAATGGTGTAACACGACAGATCTTATAGTTCAGTAACTCGTTGATCAGTGTAGAATAGAAAGTTGTTTAAAATAATAAAGACACCTAAGTAAATAAACCAATGTTTAGACGCACCCAGAACTCACATAAATGCCAGAACAATTTCATAGACGCCAGAATAGAGTATAAGTTAGAACAAACAAGTGTATAAAGGATACCTATACAGACTCGAGAACAAAATGCTATAGACGGCAGGATAACTATAGACGCTAGAATAATTATATAGACACTGGAAGTATAGAACAACTAGATAGACTTTAGGACAACTCTATAGACGCTAGAACAACATATAGACTACAAAACAAACGCAAATACGCCAGAACAAGCTCGTCGACAAGTTACACGTAGCGGTGTATCAATGCTTCGCTTAAGTGGCGGAGGCTCACGTCTGGCTTTAATAAACCTGCCGCCGCTTCTCTCCCCATTAGCTCTAAAACCTAAGAAACTCATCACAGGAAAAATATGATATGCAAATATTTAATGAGGGGGACCGAACTTCCTGAGTTTGATTACATGATCCAACTTGGAGTAACCAATTTTCAAACTTTGCTTCCTTAATGATATGAACTGTCCGAGGGCCTGCGTGATACAGGTAGAGGAGGGGAGGGAGAGGAGGGGGGTAGGGAGAGGAGGAGGGTAGGGAGAGGAGGAGGAAAGAAGGGAAGTGTAGGAGGAAAGAAGGAAGGAGGGGGAGGAGGAAAGAAGGAAGGAGGGGAGGAAGGAAGGGAGTGGGGGAGGAAGGAAGGAAAAAAGGGAGGAAAAGGAGGAGGAGGAAAGGGAGGAGGAGATCCAGAAGAAGGAGGAGGACGACGACGTGTAGTAAGAGGAGGAGGTCCAGGAGGAGAAAAGGAGGACGTTCATGTCTCGGAGGTGTAGAAAATGCAGGAGGAGGAAGAGGAGGATATATTGGCAGTCGTAAACTTAAGGTGTGCGAATAAACTTTGAACGAAATATAACAGGAAATGTGTCCTTCTTGCTTTGTATCGATGAGAGAGAGAGAGAGAGAGAGAGAGAGAGAGAGAGAGAGAGAGAGAGAGAGAGCACCATCATCGGGACAGCTGATCAAAAGCCTCACTAAGGGGACAAAGATGTGACAGAGAAAAAGTCTCGGATAACGAGGCCAATTTTTTTTTCAACAACCTGGGGAGCTTATCCAGGGGTGGAAATATAGGCTGGTGAGAGAGAGGGAGTGTGTGAGTAAAACCATAGGTAATAACAGTAACCGGTAACCCTTCAACCAAAATCAATCTTTTACTTGTGTCGGTAAGAATTAACAAAAACAGTTCACGAAACCTCTAATAATTTTTGTCCTTGTGGGGAGAGAGAGAGAGAGAAAGAGAGAGAGAGAGACAGAGTGGGAAAGAGAGAGAGAGAGAGAAGAGAAGAAAAACGGGGGAACATCAAGGCGGAGGTAGGGACAAGCCGCGGAGCTAGCCAAACAAGCTTTGACAGTCGCTAACAAATTTCATTAAATCACCGCCTACGGGCTGAAACTTTAGCTGAATGCCCCGTTGGTGGGACTGCAGAAGGAGGGGGGAGGGGAGGGGGCTGGGAGGGGGAAGCAGCTGGTATTTTTGTAAATGAGTTGGTTTTGAGAGCTTGTGGCTGGGTGGGCAGAGGGACTGAAGGATGGTGGCCTCGTGTCTATGGTTCTAAGCCCCCCTCCCTATTTCCCTTCCTTTCTCATACCTTCCCTAACTCTGCCCCTCTTTCCCTCCCTCCCTCCCTCTTTCCATCCTCTCTTTTTCCATTTCTTAATTTTTCTCTTCCTTTCTAACTTTGGTCCTCTCTTCTTCCCTCCCCCTTCCCTCCTTTATTCACTCTCCTTTCCCTCTCATTTTCCCTCCTTCCCTCCCTCACTCACCCATTTTCTCTCCCTTCCCTCCCTCACACATTCACTTTTCCTTCCCTCCCTCTCTCGCACACTCTCACTTCTCCCTCCTTCCCTTCCTCACTTTCTCCACTTAATGGATTCGAGTGATTGACAAATTTACAGACACTGTTCGAAGATGACTTACACCTCGACTCCCTTCAGTACGAGGTAGTGTCATCACCACCACAGTAACAGGGAGCCCCAGTATAAACATTAGGATCACATGAAGATTAAACACCCAAGCTTATTTCACCTGATGAGTAAAACATCTTATCGTTACTTAGGTTAGGTTAGGGTAGGTTAGGTTAGGTTGTTTGGTTATGCTATATTTTGTTGTATTATGTTAGCGTTAAGGTGTTTGATGATCAGGCTAGGGTGTATTAATCATCAGGTAAGCTTATTGTTTTCGAGGTATGTTATGACCCTAGACTGACAAAGGTTCGTAAGTTAGAATTTCCCTCGTAACTGGAAATAGGTAAAAGCTCTTAAATGGTGTCGGATTTCCTTCTAAGAGTTTATCGCGAGAAGACATTTTTATCCATCATGTAAATAGAGAGGAAAATCACCCTAATGAAAATAACCATTTGATGGCTTTGGAAATTTTATACGGGGGCTCTCTCTCTCACTCTCTCTCTCTCTCTCTCTCTCTCTCTCTCTCTCTCTCTCTCTCTCTCTCTCTCTTTCATCTATAAGCTAATATATACTTATGGTCTCTTTAGGTAAGAGACGAGGGTAAGGTTAAGTGAGAGATTATACAGAATTAAAACTTTTCAGACTAACTTGTGATTAACCTGTTTTATTAGTTTACCTGTACATAATGATACTGAAATAGGTGCAGTATGATGGCAATATTAAGGGAGTGATTGTTGATATATTCTTACACACACACACACACACACACACACACACACACACACACACACACGAGACTCATTATACACTACTTGTCAGTCTCTGTGGCTCTTGATGACTGCCTCCTCCTCGTCCTCCTCCTCCTCCTCTTCATCTTCCTCCTCCTTCTCCTCCCTGATCTTATTTACTTTACCTCCTCCTTCACCAACTCTCCAGGGTGATTGTTTGTTGTGGGGAGGTGAAGGAGGGAGGAGTGAGGAGTCGGGGAGAAAAGGAGGAGGAAGAGTAGGGGAGTATAATGAGGAAAATGTGGAGGTAGGGGAGGAAGATAACTGTAAGGAGACAGGAGAAGTGGAGGGTTAAGGGAGAGGAGGAGAAGAGGTAGAGAAGGGACACGTTTTATTGACAATGGTTTGGGGATGAGGGAGGAAGAGGCGGTCGGGAGGAGAAAGGTTGTGTTGGAGAGGGAAGAGGGCGGGAGGAGAGGGAAGGAAGAGGAGGATAGACTTGGAGAGAGGGAGGGAACAAAAGGAAGTGGTTAAAGGAAACAATGAGGGAAGAAATGTATAGGAGGAAGAGAGGGAGGGACGATAGAGGAGGGGAGGGAGGAGGTTATAGGGTGTAGAGGAAGGGAAGGGGGAAGGTAGGTGGAGGGAGGAAGGGTGAAGGAGGTAGGGAAAGGGAGAGGAAAGGAGGTACATGGAAGGAGGGGGTAGAGGGAGGGAAGGAAGGAAGGAAGGAAGGAAGGAAGGAAGGAAGGAAGGTAGGAGGGGGTGAAATGAAGTATTTGGGTCCACCTGTTGGTATTGTTTACTCATTGTTTTATTCATCAGGCCCCCAGGTGTGTGTGTTCTCACCTGTGTGTGATGTGTGGCGCTGGTTCTCACCTACCCCATCTCCGCCACATTAACCATCACCATCATATTAACTACCACCACCATTATCACCACAATAACTTTCTCTCTCTCTCCCTCCTTCTTTATCCTCCCGCCCTCCATTAACATCAACATCATTGTGCTACTTGTTCCCTGTTTGTTATGAGGTGGAGTAAAAGAATCATCGTCTATTACTCGTACATGTATTAAGAACAGTGTTACCAGGAGGTGAGCTTGTGTGTGTGTGTACCAGGACGACCAGCTACCTGAGTTACAGTGGGTGCTGAGTCAGGCTGGGAAGGTGTAAACATAAAAAGGAAACCGTCAACCTTTTGTTGATTAATGCAGATTTCTGTTTATATATAACTGCAATCGTGCACTAAATTACGAT